AATTAAACCTTATTTTCAATAAGCAATCCTGAAAAATAGTTGGGGGTGCATAACTTTTTTCCAGGTGTATATATTCGGAACAAGTTAAATGTATGTACAACAAATTCTTTACACTACAGAGATCATAGGCATATCACTAACAATATATAGTTCTCTTCTTGTTGTCAAAAGTCCACTTAGGTTTATTCAATTGCTTTAGAATTTCAGTTGACAAGCCAAACTATTTTTCTCTATTACTATCGATAATCTATCCGAGTATAGTTCACTTACTTTACCGTCGAGTTACCACGGTTGTATCCTATACTCCTAAAATCGTCTGCTCCTTTTTCTCTCTTTGTATTTCCGATAATCGTCTATCTATTGTCAAAGTCCACTGAGGCTAATTCAATTACTTTAGAACTTTCTTTGACGAAATAAACTATTCTTCTTATATTTCTCAACACTGTTACTCTCACTCTAATATATCAACCGTTAGGCCTATATTAATGGATAGGCCTTCCACTCCTACTACGATACTTTGCGTTTAACTTTTCTTTGGCCGAATTTCTTCTCGTAACTTTACTCTACTTCTCGTCTGCTCTGTCTGTCCGTTTTTCGTATTTAGATCTACTTCCAATAATCGTCTGCTTGTGGTCAAAGTCCACACAGGCAGGTTCAACTGCTTTAGAGTACCCTTTGACGAGACATGTTATTCTTCTAAAATGTCAGAAAACTGTTAATCTCACTTTAACATATCAACCATTTGGCTATTCGCTCCTACGACGGGTTAACTTTACGTTTCTTTTGGCCGCACTTCTACTTCACGTGAGTTTACTTTCTAACTTTGTTCTGTCTGTCTACTTTTCCCGCTCATCTCACACTATTTATATGTTTATTACTTAATTGTCTGCTCGCTATACCCTCTATAACTCGGCATCAATAAACTTTACGCGACTTTCTATAATCTCTACATCAACGAGTTATAAACACAACATACCTATGTGTCTCACCAATTTAAGTGACTAAACTTTTCACATTTACTTTCAAATAATTGCTTCTAACTCTCTTGTTACAGACAAAACTAAACAATCATAAATCATTCACTCAAAAAATAAATTAATCAATAATATCTACACTAAACAGTTTTTTATATCATGACAACCTAAGTGTCGCATGTTCCATATATTAAAGTACTTGGCTCTTTGGTTTATCTACCAATAATTCTCTCACTTATTTTTTTTTTATATCGAAACCCTGATACCTTAGTTAATGGAATGTCTAAACCAACTCCTTTTACTTTCACTGATTTTTTGTTTGTAAAACTGGTTGGTAACTGACCATTAATTTTTGATGTGTTAAAAATGTCCCCACACCATGATTTCAATAACTTAGAATAGTTGTGAAAATTTTTAGATTTCAACTAACTGTCTTCATTTTTAATTTCTTAAACTAACACCAGACTAATTTCAGGCATATACTTTCTAAGTTTTATGCACCCGGATAGTTCATGGAAGTTTTCAGGAATGCTGTCCACAATAACGTTTGTAAGCTTTACAGTTTATTTTTACTTGTTTCTGTATTATATTTACTCGAATTTTGTTCTTCTTTGTTAATTGTTATTACTTTTGAGCTTTGACTTGAATTTGGTGATGTTTATTTACTTCGCATTTTGTCAGTTTTCTCTTCTTGCCAACTTATATTTGATTAATTTCCTGTATCACATCAAAAAGAAAGATCACTCCAATTGGCTGTCATAATGTCAGCGGTAGGGCGGTGAGACAGTGGTGACATGCGCCGTTGTAGGTTCAAGTTCTGTGTTTACAAAAACTTTGTTCCTGTGAAGCTATATACACCAGTATTTACTATAATTTTGAATTTACTAATTGTGAATTCAAAAAAAGCAGATTTTCTACTAGTGTTTTTACTAAAGATTTAACTGTAAAATTATGAAGTCAGACTCTGACTAACTCGATTGCAAGATGACTTTCATGTTAAGATTAAATATACTGTTATGTATCTGCTTGTTTGTTAATTTCCGGTAGAAATTCTTTTCGAGGAATTTCAGCGCTACAAGTCCTTTCTTGATTAAACCAGTTTATTCTTTCTCGATACAAACTTTTAGTACACAGTAATTCCACAGTCAGTACGTTTCTCGTCAGTTTAAACTTAACAATTTTATAATACACGCTAGAAATCAGAGCGATTCACAGTCTCGAAAACTTCGCTCTCTACGAGTGCAAAACACACACTAGCTCGAAACATAATCGTAAATTACCCGAAACTCACTGTAACTCCTGTTCGCTTTATTATCCCCTGGCTTTTCCCTGCCAGGCTTATATAATAACGAAGAGGCATCTCCAAAATTCGCGGACTTCCCCGATAATTCGAGAAACTCAGTCACGCATGCTCCAGCAGCGTCACGTGACTTCCGCTGTCGTAACAATACTTTTTTTCATCTTACATTTTTAAAATTTCATTTGCATAACTTTTAGAACCTTCGAAATGAACATTAAAAGTTTTTTTCAATAAAACTATATTTTACCTTTTATTTTTCCTTCCCTAACACTTTCAGACTAGGTCCACTTGACCTATCGTGTAAGTACCACCAAAAAAATAATAAAAAAACGAAATAAATTTAAATTGCTCCTCTTTTTTTTTCTTGAATGCCTACAGATTTTAACATAACATAATAATTATTTATCCATAACATCTTAAGACTCGTAACAGTTTACATATCTTTTTATTTAATTGTATCGATCTTTGAACCGTGTCTACCAACTAATCACCCAGCGGTACCACACATATGCCGAAGACAGAGCTCAAAGTACGGTATTACATTACGAACACGTCTCACGTGATAGGTATAAATGAGCATTCTAGCAAAACTAAACTGAATCTCATCTACCTTTATCCTTCGGAAATGAAAAAAAAAAAAACAAAAAAAAACGAAAGCCTAGGTCTTGTGCCTTTGTAGCTGTTGCAGCTTATGGCGTCATACATAATTTCCTTTTCTGGTTTCCATCGACTTCACACTGACGCAAAACATTCACTGCTTTTGGCCATTGTTTACAGTGGTTTGTTTATTAACCCTTGAACCCACACCGCATAGTGGCGCCAAAATCACGCTGACACGCTTTTATGCCTTACTAAGTATTCTTGATGGTCTATTTCTTTTATCATGGTCTGAGTCTTCACTAAATTAAAACACCAAACTCTCCCTTCTCGTGACGTTGTATTAATTTCTTGGGAGGGGTCTGCAGTAGGTCAAAAATTCGATCATATCGGAGAGATCTAAAGAGCCTTAAGTTCTTGTTTGAGTCATATTTTTGTTCAGAAGAGGAAACCATAGATCGCTGATTTCAATTCTCAGAAGTGATTTGTTAAATTTTCGTGGTTTTAGCAGTTTGCTATACAGCAAAAGTTAACTCACGATATTGAATTATTTATAGTGAAATAATTTTTTAACAAAGCAAAAGGGCTAAAATACCAGATTCTTACAAACAAAACTGTTTTGAAAATATGCACTTATTACGTTTTCATTATGATATGCGATTCTTACAAAACTGTAAACTGTTATGAAAATATGCACTTATTACGTTTTCATTCTTTTTTTTATTCTTATTTATTTTTAACTTTAAAGTTGCGACTTAATCGAGATCTTACTGGTGATAAATCTGGAGTACGTAACAACCTGATTTTTTAAAATTTAATAACATAGTGCTAGAATGATAACCGTGGATTGAATTTTTCTGGGCTAATATGCCCTTTTCCTATTTGAAAGTGTTGAAAATTAATACAGAACTCTTAGGAAACATGAGAAGACAATCCTATGTCTCCTAGTATTTGCAACTGCAAAGTGAAAAGGTGTTTCAAGTGCAATAAATGCAGTCGATATATACATGACTAAGACTGGATACCAATTGTAACAAAATTATTACAGAAAAGGAGGTAAAAACAGTTTACAAATAGAAAAGTAAAAATGTAAAGAAAAATTTGTTTTTTCTGTTTCTTCTTCCTCGACAGCAAAAGTTACCATTGTCTTGGATCTTGAAGATTGTAATTCAGATGTTACGACACTCATCTTGTATCTCCTTCATTTGCTAAAAATTTGTAAGTCATCTTGTATACATTTTGTTATTGCTCTTACTTGTTTGCGATGAAATATCGTCGTTTCTTGTCAAGTTTACTCTAAATGTAGCATTCGACCGACGTTAACTTTGATAGCCAGTTTGTTGTTGTTGTTTCACTCATTAGACCCAAGACCAAACAATACAATAGTGAAAAAGAAAAATTGTACTAATGAATCGAATAATTTTAAAATATTCATCACGAAATTTTAGAGACTTTGGCCTGGTTCAGTCACAAATTCAGGGTTAAAATTATCATAATAAATGTATTAGGTTCCTGAGCCCAGGCCCTGTAGGTCCGTGCATTCCGGCACTGAATACTTATATTACTATTAGACACTTTCATATGTATTTACATACCTCGCAAATGTAGTTAAAATCCCCTAAGGTAGGGTATTAATTGGGTTATTTGGGGATTGACAAAAGCTTCTGAAACTAGAAATAAGAATATAGTGATTTATCAAGGATGAAAAGAGATTTAATTCCACAACTCAACAAAGTACTCCCTGACTTCCATCGTATTTTAATACAGATCGTATATTCTGAAGGATCGTGATTTCAACTATTTTAATTTCTATACATTAACTTAATATAACTTATACGGGAGTACAATTAAGTGGAACTTTGAATTACATAACTAGGCGTAAACACTGCAATAGATTACTTAGATATTAAAATTGTCATTGAATAAACGTATATTTGAAGTTAGGCCTTGTACAATTAACTAACTGTTTCTGACTTTAAAAGACCAATAACAAATTTGTAACATAGAATAATCAACGAATTTGTTATAAAGTAACACTTTTTCTTCTAAAAACGTATGTAAAATACTTTCAGTTTCAGATTGTCTCAACTGAGATTTTAAAAATCGTAAAATAAACATTCCTATCTCACCTTCATAAAATCCACACTGGACTCAAGAGGGTTGTCAAATCTAAACAACAAGAGAAAGCTTTCTTCCAGCGGTAGAAGCTGGGCCAGCTACAACACAAAGAATACACGTGTTAAAATGTAAATCTATGTTTGCGACAGCTTAAGACATTCTGTCGAGAGATGTTAAGTAGTCATCAATCAACTTTTCGTTGTGTTTACTTTTAAAAAAATCATTTTATTTTTGTTTATATAACTAATCGTTTTCAATGGTACTTCTCTTTGTTTATATAAGTAACTGTTATCAGTGGTACTTCTCTTTGTTTATATAAGTAACCGTTATCAGATAACGGTTACTTATATAAACAAAGAGAAGTACCATGATAACGGTTACTTATATAAACAAAGAGAAGTACCATTGCGTATAGCTGATTGGAGCGACTAGTGAAACTTTGTTTACAGTCATGCTGCCTATAATGCAGGATATTGTAATGTTGCACCCTATTTTTCGGGGGAATATGTTCCCAATCCTCTGTAGCACGGTGCGAGCTCCAGGCAGGTTTTGACTTACTCCCCCAACCCCTTCCCATGAATACGTTGGTCTAATCTTCTGTAACATCAAAGCAAAACAAGCTGTGGTAATGTTTAATCGTATCAACAGAGTTAGTAGTCGTGTTTAGATAAGAAAGTGTTAGAAAGATAGAATTAGAAATGGTTTAAGAAAGCCAAGTATCTCATAAATTATTTAACTCAATATTCCAGGTGGTGGGAGTTTGAGGTGGGCCAGAGAAAATATTGGGAGGACTTTGTAGTCTAGTTGTGTGGATCACCAGCATGTTGAACACGCTAGATTTGGTGACTAAGGCAAATTTTGGGTTGGCTATAGCCCCCAAGCCCCTATTTATCTCCGCCCCTGAACCGAATAATAAATAAGAACCTGCCCAAAAATATAAAACGTTAATACATGGATCAGGGATGGGATTATTTTCGTAAAAATAAAATAGAATGAAGAACAAACTTTGAGGTGACGACACATGCTCGAAATAAGATTGAAAATGTGTCGTAAATGATAAAACAGTTGAAAGTTGAGCAAAAAGAAAGATTCAGAAAAGAGATAGAAATGTAATGTAATATCAAGAAAAATGTTACAGACAGCTAAGAAAAGATCAAGAAGAAAGATATTGTTTGGTTTGGGGGGGGGGGGTTAAAGGCACAAAGCAACGTGGCTAGCTACGCCAAACAACCGGTATAAACATAAGAAAAATTATATAGTAAGGTAAACAAGTTAAAACAAGTTTTAAACAAGTTAAAAGCTAAACAATGTCCAAAGATCAGATAGTAATTCAAATAGAATGAAAAAGGCCTAGAGCTTACAAAAACTGAAAAACACAAACAAGTTGGACAATGTCACCATTCATCATCGGGGTAAACCCATATAAAGTACATGTTAAAATGGTGCCGCTACTCACGGTCGTAATAACGGCACGACAGTAAAACGTGGGTTATTGTGAATTGAGTGTCACAAAGGCCACACATTGGTGGATCAATCCCAGATAAAAGAAAACGACGAGTTAAAAAACTGTGACCAATGCGTACCCTTGCCAGGACAACTTCCTCCTTACGAAACAAGACAGCCAAAGAACAACAGAAGGTTTGATCTGGAGAAACTTGTTACGACGTTGCTCACTCCAAATCCACTACCAACTGGCGGAAACCGGAGCCTTGAACACAGGACCAGAAAAACTGGATAGAAATGGAAGATTGAGAAAAATGAGCCAGTCGAGAACAGAGTGAAGACAAACATTAAGCGATTTCATGATCAGTAGACAGCAACCACCTAGCCACAACAAACCATAGCAGAGCCCACAGAGTCACCTGACTTCGAACCATCCGTAAAAAACTGGAACGGAAGAATGATTTAAAAGATGTTCGGCAAAGAGAAGACAGTAATTCCAATCAAGAGGATCCACCATCCTCAGATGACTCAAAGAAAGGTCACAGGTGGGGTGGTAACGAGCCATGGCGGGATTGGTTGATCATCGGACTCAGTATCTTCATCCAATGACAGACACAATTCAGTCAACTGTGGCTGGATATGAAGAGCAAAAGGAAGAATGACAGATTGTGTATTTCAAAAGAGCACAGCCCACCGAGGAAGGAAGACATAACCCCAGGTGGGATGCTGTGGTAAGGATTGAAGCTTTGTAGCATATTGTAAAGAAACTGCAAATGGTGGAGGTGAAGAGGAGGTTCATGGGATTCAGCATACAAACTATGGACTGGAGAAGTGTGGAAAGCCCCAGATGGTGTACAGGGACCAATATATTCAAGCCAGAGGGCTGGTAGAACCATAGACCAGAGATCCATAGTCCAGCTTTGAACATATGAGGACATGATATATCCTCAATATAGAACATCAGTCTGCTCCCTAAGAGGTAGAAGAGAGGACATGGAGGGTGTGTAGTGCCCTTGTACACTTCACACGAAGCTGCTTAATGTGAGAAATGAAAGTAAGCTTACAGTCAAAGATCAGCCTCAAGAACTTTGCCTCAGGAATCACGGGAAAAACAACCCCAAGTGAAACA